GTCTGTGTACTGTGAGGTCTGTATGGTCATGTATGTGTAGAGGTCTGTAGGGTCAGGTCTGTGTACTATGAGGTCTGTAAGGTCAGGTCTTTGTTGTGTGAGGTCTGTAAGGTCATGTATGTGTACTGTGAGTTCTGTAGGGTCAGGTCTTTGTAGTGTGAGGTTTGCATAGGATGATATCATGTATGATGAGTGTTGTCCCATCTGGTCTCGTTCCTTCAGGTACAGTGTAACTCCAGAGAACATCATCCTGTACGGTCAGAGCATCGGCACAGTGCCCACCATCGACCTGGCTGCTCGTTACGAATGTGCTGCTGTCATCCTCCACTCCCCACTCATGTCTGGGCTCCGGGTGGCCTTCCCCAATACCCGAACGACCTACTGCTTTGACGCCTTCCCCAGGTGAGTGGGAACCACTCTGCAGGTCCCAGCAAGACCACTGGTTGCTTCAGGACTTTTCTCTTTTTGTTCCTCTGAATGAAGTGTGACACTTTGGAGATGTAGGTTGGTTGTTGAGAAGAATGATGAAACTGGATGAAATGTCGAACACCAACAGTTTCAGAGTTGGAAACTGTCTCCAACAGTGGAGTCTCATAGGTCTGCTGCCAAGGAGCCCATTAGGATTCAGCATGTGAAGAATGGTTCTGAGACCACCTAGTTCTTTTTGCCTCATCCAGGTTTTCTAACAGTTTCTTGTCTTCTTCTCTCCTTCACAGCATTGAAAAGGTATCTAAGGTGGCCTCTCCGGTTCTGGTGATCCATGGTACCGAAGACGAGGTGATCGACTTCTCTCACGGACTGGCCATGTACGAGCGCTGCCCGCGGGCCGTGGAGCCTCTCTGGGTGGAGGGGGCGGGTCACAATGACATCGAACTCTACGCCCAGTACCTGGAGAGACTCAAAAGGTTTATCTCCTTCGAACTCCTCACCTCCTGATCGCAGCTTCATCTCAGCCTCCTCTTCCTCGTCTAGGAGCCAGAACCCCACTGGTCAGGGACTACGGACAGGTGGACATGAAGTTCAGGTTCTGCTGAGTGATCCCAGGCAGAAGAACATGTGGTGGTTGCTGCAGGAACATAGCCACAATTAACTAGTTAACCTCACAAGTTACCTGTGGTCTAACCAGTTACTTTATGTCTAACTAGTTAACTTATTACAACATGTGGTATAACTAGTTACATGTGGTCTCACTACTTAACAAGTTACCTGTGGTCTTAGTAGTTACATGTTGTCTAACAAGTTAACTAGTTACATGTGATCTAACCAGTTAGCTGTTGTCTAACTAATTAACTTGTTGCATGTGGTATAACTAGTTACATGTGGTATAACAAGTTAAGTAGTTGCATGTGGTATAACTAGTTATTTGTGGCTAGGTACCTGTGGTCTAACTGGTTAACTAGTTAACCAGAGTTTCTACCAGCTGCTCAGACTTCCTGTTTTTCAGTTCTGCCCCCCCCCCCCCCCCCCCCCCCAACTTCACAATCCGGTTTATTTTATTTATTTTATTTCAAGTTTTATGGAGGATCAAAGAGTGGAGTGAAGTTTGTTTTATTGTTACTGACATTCCATATTTATTGTCATCCGGACTCTGGTTCTGATGTTGAGCGAGCTGCTGCCACGAGACACTTCTGTCAACAACATGACAGGAACCGACGGTTCGATCCGAACCAACTCTGGGATCCGATGGTCCCATCAGCCGTGACCTCAGAACAGCATCATCCCTGCTGAGGACCAGAGAGGCCTTTTTACTCCAGACCTGTCAGACCCGAGAGCAGATCCGATATGATGGTGGTGACGAAGATGTGGAGAACTGAGGAGATGGTGAGGATGACAAAGATGATGATGAAGGTGACCATGCCGGACCAGTTTTTGTTCTGGGTCTTTATTGACTGAGTCTTGGTCCATATTTCAGAGGGACCCTTGCAGGACCTGTGTGTGTGTGTGTGGTGGGGGGGGGGGGGGGTGGGGGGGTAATGGATCTGAGTTTTGGTGCTGTTTCTCACCAGTTGAACTGATTTTGGAAAAAGACTCAAACCCATGTAGTGTTTGTGTGTGTGGATGAGGGGACCAGTCTTGGACTTGCTGAGCCCTCAAGAGTTCTGCTGGGTTTCTTCTCTAAAGGTTCTGACAGAACCATGCTGACGGGCCTGTGCAGAAGGTTCAGTTTGGTTCTGTCAGCTAGAAACTGTGCAAAGTGAAGACCTGGGTTCTTATCTGTGGAGCTCATGGAGGTTCTTTCTCTTGATGAAGATGATGATGATGAAGATGATTTAACCTGTGTTTTTTGAAAGCTATCCAATCAGCTGTTCACTTCCTGTTTGTACAGGAAGTGCTGCACCTGCTGTCGACCTTCTGATTGTTTTGATAAATCCTTTTTACAGGTTTTTGTTGAAGTTAAATCATGAATCATATTTTCTGATTTAACTCCAGACCTGAAGGTCAAACATTATTATTAAAATATAATATAAATCTGTGAAAAACGTTGAATGCTGTGACACTGATGCATCGTGAGAAATGTTGAAGGATCTTTTAATGCTCATGTTGGAATAAAGGATGCATGAAGGTTTATGTTTCTGTCATGTTTCAGCTAGTGGACAGATTATCGCCCGCTGCCATGATAAGCAGGTGTCTGTTAGCAAAATATGAACCAACGGATGGACTTGATTGAAACTCGGATGGTTATTACTGGATGAACATCTACGACTGTTCACTTTAAGAGTCATTGTAATTCAAGATGGCTGCCAGATCAGCATTAGACAAACATGGTCGTATCTCAGGCAGTTTTACAGATCTGGACTGAAAACTGGGTGTGGTCATAGCTGAGCGTGAACCTCAACACGTATTCTGAAAGCTAACAGATGATGTGATGTTTCAAACTGACATCAAGGCGATGGGCGATATGCATTCCTGTAAGAATGCTGCACCTCAAAGTCACAACAATGATCCAAAGTAATTTGGCTCTGGATAAATATGTAAGAAAACATTTCATCACGCCCTTCTGTTTCATTTGAGCAGTTTTGCTTCACTTCAACCTCAGGTCTACTACCAGAGGCCTGGGTTCTGTTCAGCATCTCAGCTGTTCCTAGGACTGCGCTCTTCTGCACAGATCTCAGGTTCCTGGGATGATCTGTTGGAGCAACTCATCCAGATTTGGGGTCACAGCACCAAGTGCTTCAATGACCGCTGGGACTACTAATGCTTTGACTTTCAACAACTTCTGTGTTTCCTCTTTCAGCTCCTGTTTCTCCAGCTGCTCCTTCTTCCTGATGTTTGTCTTTGGGATTGTTACATCACCCCTCCTCCTCTTCTTGTTCACCTCCACAAGGTCCAGTAGGTTAGCAATCACCCATTTGTTTGTCTGGATCTGGAGTATCTTAGCCCTTCCATTCTCCACCACCCTTGGTAGAGTCCTTGACTTTTGACTGTGGGATCTCCAGTCCATACTTGGCACAGATGTTCCTGTGTATTATTCCAGATGTTCTTGTGTACATATTATTGCAGTTGTTCCTGTGTATTATTCTAGTTTTTTCCTGCATATTATTCCAATGTTTCTGCATATTATTCTAGCCACTTGATTATGATGTTCCATGTATACGTTGCCTGCTTGCATCTTGGGTCTTGTTTGTTCTGGTAGACCCCGGCCTCTATTGCTCTTGTGCCGCCATGATAAGTGTCTGAGCTGTCCTTCAGTCCAGTGCAGGGACTGATCTTTCCATCATGGCTCTTCTTGTTCTCCTTATTCCTCATTGGGTTTCTGCTGCTGCCTGAGACATTCACTCATCAGGCCGTCATCAGTCTTGGAATCTAGCTGTTTTTTGTTTTGTTACCTTTTCCTTTTAGC